CCGGTTAATACTAAAGGTCTCAATTCAAGAGAGGCAGGAGCGCATATCCAGACCCTAGCTTGCGTGGTTGATTTGTTGTCTCAGCATAGTTAATAGAGCACATGGTTTAGAGACTCAATGAAAGTCATCTATGTTAGGGCAGGTTCATGCAAAAAGTACAGTCCATTGTTGTGGTTATTGTACAGTATTTTCACACAAACAAAAACAGTAGGCACATGATGGACTACAGTTTTGCTTAAAGTTAGATAATTAACATAGAAATTGTGACCAATACACCTTCCAACAAGTTTCCGAACTATGTGCTACATTTGTGTGAGTTTCATTTTCAGCCATATACTGATGTGGAATAGCATTCATTTTACTGATGCATGATTTATTTGACCAGCCCAAAAATGATACAAATCATTTGAGTTTTGTTACCAAGAACAATTTACTAAAAACAGTTAATATCAATAAGTATGTCAATGAACATTTGTATCTTGTATTAATTAAGTTTGTTAACACATTGTCATCAAGCAGTAATGACTGATATGCAGTTTTTAGAAGTTACAAGTTCTTTTTTTCATTCCATAGTTTTTCACACAACGTATCATGGATTCGCTCAGCTTCAGCAGCATGATTATTAATCTTTCTACAGGACCGCATTTGAAGTAGGTTTCGTATTGTTTCCCTATCTCTTCTTTCGTTGGTTACAGGATCAAAAGTGAGATCAAGCTTTCTTGACATTGTTTCCCCCTATCAATACAGATATTGTGTAAAACTACGCATGCTAAGGCGGTTGTTTTCACTTGGTCTACTTCACTTTCATTCTTCCATATCAAAACTCTCCATCTTCCTTTCATTTGCCCATATGCTCCCTCCGTCACCATTCTTGCTCTACTTAAGCGATAGTTAAAATTTTTCTGTTCATTTGTCAGTACGGCATTCGTGTAAGGCTTCATCAGCCATGATTGTAGAGGAAATGCAGAATCACCCAGAATAAGTGGGTAAATGGTAGTTGTACCCACAGTTTGACCAATGTTTGGAATTGCACCTTTTTCTGTTATATTATTCCAAAGTTCGGTTGACTGGAAGATAATCAAGTCGTGTGAATTGCCAGGAAATCCACAACTTGCCCACACAAATCTATAGTTGGAGTCGACCATTGCCATCAATACTACAGAATAAAAGTTTTTGAAGTTGTGGTATTTCTTGCAAGCCTCTAGACCTCCAGCTGGGCACTTAATTGGTATATGGCAACCGTCAATCGCTGCCCAGCAAAATGGGAATTGCCAAAGTTCTTCCATATCTAGTATTTTTCCTTCAAAATCTTCCTTTGTTCGGGGCATGTGTTGTTCTACTGATAAATTCCATAAATTTGCAATAATTGCTTCGGTTACTTCCTTTACAATTAAACAAACAGTTGCTACACCTAATCCGACCATTTCTGCTATTGTGTAGTAATAGTCTCCTCTGGCAAGGCGATATAAACAAATGCCCAATCGACACTCAGGCGATATTGGTTCTTCGTTCACGGTTTTATGCTGAATAGCGTGTCTTATGCGATCAAGTATGAAAGTAAATGTTGGCCTTGAGACTCTAAAAGTTTTAGTGAATCGCTTGTCCGAGTACTGGTTCCACACCAATGCCCACCAGCCGTTATTTCGTTCAAATCGACGACAACAACGTTGACGAACAGGTGTTGTATCAACACTTGCCAGAATTAAAAGTGTTGTTAAACAAGTATACATCATTACACGTCGTCTCCATGTAGCATAAATTAAAGCAACTACTGCTCTTCGTTGTCTGTTTTGTCGGGCAATATTCTTACGAATTAGTTGCAAATTTAGTGTGTTTGTCCATCCCGCCATTTTGAATTTGGGCGCCAAAAACTTGTTAATTACTTTATGTAACTTCCAATATAGTGTCCTCGCAATTTGGTACGGCACAATTAAGTTCGACGTCTAAATCAGTTGCAAATATTTTGCCGTATCTACGACAATTAGATTCGGCGCATGAAAAGTTTGCCGTCTAAACCGGGCCTTAGAGCGTAAACGTTCAAAAACGGCATGAAGCGCTTTGTCATGTGCCGCTTGGTCTGTACCAAAAATGATGATGTCATCACTAACATTACGAGCACCTTCGATACCACTGAGGACTTGTTGGATGGCATCTTGAAATTTAAGCGGGTGTAGCGGTGAAGTCCTCTGTGCGTGGAAAATGTTGTGATATAGCGGCTTTCGGGTGCGAGTTCGTGGTAACCAGAGTTCAAATCAATTTTGGAAAAAACTGTGGCACCGTTTAGATCATGAATTAGGTCATCAATAGTTGGTGTATGATGACGTTCACGAAGGATCGCACAATTGGGTTGGCGCATATCGATACAAAGGCAAATTTCATCAGGGTTCTTCGGTTTTGGTGTCACAACGAGAGGGACACCCAAGGAGTTGGGCCATCAACCGGTTCGATAATACCCTGGCATTCAAGTTTGTCAAGTTCGGTATCGAGCTTTTTGCGAAGGTGGAACAGAATTCTCTGAGGTTGTGTCGCGGGGGGACGGAGGGATCGATATGTAGATGAACTTGAAAATCCATCTTGCCAATACCGTCAAAAAGGTCTGAATATTCAGAACGGAATTGTGTGCTGCTAAGTGTGGAAAGCGGTGTGGTGGTGTTGACAGATGCGTTGGTTTGAGCGATGACAGAGACAAGTTCTAATTCAGTTGCAGTTTTGTAGCTTAAAAGGCAACCATTTTCGCCCTTAATAACATAGATAGTAGCAGGGGTTGTGTGTGTTTTCGATTCAATGCGAGTGTAGAATGTTCCAAGAACAGGTAGAGGTGAAGTACCACCGTAACTGTAGATTTTCATGGAGGTATGACGTAATGAAAGCCGATTATTCTGCGGAGATTTTATGATGGCGTGATAAGCCTTTTCATCAATAACATTAATGCTGGCGCCGGAATCAATCAACACTTGAAGTGGTACATTTACCATCATAACTTTTGCCTTTGGGCAGGTTAAATTACTGACTTGGGAAATAGCTACTGTGAAAAGATACTCATCATCAGAGGTGGGGTATTGTTGAGTACCGGTAACGTGGCGAATCTCGCATGGAGGGAGTTGACGTGGAAAGGAGTTAGGAGGGGATGGTTGAAAACGCGATTGACGATGGGGGGAGCTACTTTCAGCAAACGGTGGTCTTATAGGTTTAGAAAATGGTTCATTTTTCCGCACGAACGACGCTGGGAGCCGTGCGCAGGACAGCTGACTTGACCTTGTGGATGGAGATAGGCATAGCCACAATGTCCACATGTAGACGATGGGCTTGGGAACTCTCGAGAGCGTGGGAAAGGAGCAGACGGCAATTGACGGGATTTAGGACGCTGAGACATACAAGTATAGTTTAAAAGTTCAGTTTCATCAGGAGAAATGGATTGAGATTCAATGCCAGAGGCTTGTTTTTCAGATATTTCCATGGCGTGACCGAGATCAAGGAGTGCTTTGAGGGTTAGGGATGAGTCACAAAGTGTGCATCAACGAAGGTGAGACGAGGAGCAGTTGAGGATTATCTGCGATTTGATTTCTTTCTGAACAGAGGTAAATTCGCAAGTTGAGGCCAGTTGGCACAGACGACTAGTAAATTGATCGAGCGTCGCAGTTGGTTGTTGACGAGCTTGACGAAAGAGGTATATTTCATAATCAACGTTGCGTTACAGCATAAAATGTTCGGTTAGTCGGTCCATAGCTTTCTTGTAGTCTTTCTCGTCACAGGTATCCATTAAGGTCTCGAATATATCAAATGCTGACGAGCCAATATAGTGCAAAAGAAGTGCGCGTTTGCGTGTCTCATCGTCGATATCCATGGCAAGAAGAAAATTTTCGAAACGTTTTTCCATTTAGTCCAGCGTTGACCGGTCACGGTGGGGTCGTCTTCAACATTGAACGGAGGAAATGGTGGTAAAGATGAGGCCATAGCGCATGTGGAGATATTTTGATTCTCGTCGCCAATGTAGTATTCTTATAGTAGGATAATACGAGACACGCTCTTTGAGTGGTTATAACAATACTAATTTAATATACATGGAATACTGGTTATATACAAATGACGTCACAAGTAATGACGTCAGGTTATTACACTGTTCTAGAACAAAATTATGTTATTTGTGGTGTTACTCTGAGTGTATATCCACACCGGGCGAGCTTGAAAAATATGCCCGGCCACAGTGGGATTCGAAGTTGGAAGAGCATTGGGCTAGTATTCCAAAGGTCGTAGGTTCGAATCCCACCGTGGCCGGGCATATTTTTCAAGCTCGCCCGGTGTGGATGTACACTCAGAGTAACACCACAAATATCATATTCACCTGAGTACACTACACCAACACAGGGAAAAAAAAATTAAAAATTATGTTATTTTTTTCTGGAAAATAAAATAAGCCCACTTATCTAGAGGCTTGTCAAGATTTCCCCTTGATGAGTAAAAATCGTTAAAGGACTGAGAGCAGCCAGATTGCAGAATTTGCTGTGAGACATGATTCTGGTCCATCCTTGCATTGATTGAAACAGAAACATCGAGTTTTCTTACCACCAATTGCTGCTCATGATTGGCTACATTTTCAGCAGCTTGTTCTTCCTCAACAAGTTGCCCCCTTCCATGTCCTCCGCGCCTTCCTCTTCCACCTCTCTGTTGCCCTCTCCCCTTGGCACGACCTCTAGCTCTGCCACGACCTTGCCTACCTACATCCTCTTACTCACTCTTTCCTCCATGGATGATTCTGAATCCCAAACAAAAAAGAGTATTAAACAAAGGTAGCAATATGTCGGCAATTTTTCAATTGCAAACACAAAAAGTTGCTAATTACCACATTAAAGGGTCACTTTAATAATTGATCATTCTCATTGATTAGGGTGTGAACAATCAGATGAACATAATATACTCTCAAATAACATACATTGCTTATTAAATCCACAAACCATCTTCCTGGGTGGTCTTTCGGAATATTTCATTGCTTGTCTCTCAGAAGTATTTTTTGAATAGAAATAGAATTGAAAACTGTGTTCCCAAATGTTATTTTCTAGTTTGCTTTTATAATAGGAACCTTCAGTGCATAGGGAGATACTTTATGTTATATAGGTTATCGTCACAAAAACAAAAAATGTAAACAAATGCTTTGCCAAGATATCGCAACAATTTGTCTGTGATTATTGTCAAAGGTAAAGATAACTCATTTAGAGATGTTGCTGTGAGAAGACAGAACGTACATAATACATTATTATGGCTTTTGCAAAATAATCCTCATTGTGCTGAATTAGAAATTAATGAAAATGCATTAAACTCTTTACCTGAAAATGGCATTCCAGCAGATCTCATGACTGTTGAGACTGAGAATGAAATAATCTCAAATGATGATATGTCAGATTTAGGCCCACCCACTGAAAACCCTCCTGAAGATATAGTTTATAACAACTCAACAGACAAGAATAGTTTCTTGCCTGTTGGTGAACAGCAGGAACAAGAAATAGAAGCAGTTAGAAATCAGCTTTCTATAAATGAACCAATGCCATGGCCTGCTATTGAATGTGAACTGTTGAATGAATATCAGATATCACATCTGGCCACTATGGCTTTTCCAACATTTCCTGATGGGAAAGATGATCCAACTAATCAAAGTATCTTGAGGAATGTTCCTCTTCTCAAGAAAGAATTAAACATCTTTTGAAATTTGCTGATTTTATTGACGGTAAATGGATATACCGTTTTGCTAACCACCCTAGATTTTCATACTGGGCATTCAATATGATTCACAGAAAGCGTATTCTACAACGAAGTGGAATCCCTTACCAAACTGACATATATGTAAAATATCTGCAAGTATCTGTCACATATCTGTTGCAGTACTGCAGCATAACTGCAACAAGGTCTACAATATCTGCAAAATATCTGCATAAAAGTTGCAGGTATTGCAGATATGTTGATTATCTGTCAACATATCTGCAAAATATCTGCATAAAAGTTGCAGATATGTCAATTGTCTGTCAAAATATCTGCATAAAAATTGCAGATATATGTAAATATGCCAATTGTCTGTCAATATACAGAAAACAATTCTTACTTTTTTAAACTAATTTTCTTAATTAGAAAAACGATTCATAAAATGAGAAGTATTTGATTTGCAAGACATTTTATGAAATAAGAAAAATTCTCTTAACATATCTTAAATTACATTTGTTTTCTTGAAATATGAATGTTTTCTTACGATTTTGTCATCTTCATATCAAATCATTTTCTTAAGAAAATTTTTAAAACAAGAAATCAAATTCTTAACATAAGAAGTAGTGATTAATAATAAATTATTTCTTACTTATTTTCTCGAAGAACGAAAATAGATTTGTTAAAATTTAAATATAACATTTTTTGCATTTTTTTTCCCAAAATGATATATTTTTCCTCAATATTCTTTTAACAAGATGTCAAATGTCATCCTGGATTTAGATGGGTTAGTATGTTCACTTTAACTGCAATTAGCTTTTTCTCAAAAAAGCATATTCTGGGGTCATTTGGAGGGACAAAATATATGGAGACAGACATCAAATATGTGATAGAGTAGAAGTATCTACTATCAAATATGAACTTTTTACATGACCAAAAATGAGTTATCTCCTTTTTACATTAAACTTTAATTTAAACATGTGTTTCCATATTTCCTGTCCTTTCAACAAGGGATTCGTGCGACTAGATTACATGTCTTACGTGGTGAAGAAACTTATCGAAATTTCAAACCCAAATGATGGAAAAGGCATGGAAAAGTTCGTAAAATGTTATTCAGATCTGACAGGTAAGAATAGTTATATTTTGACTTGTTATTTAAGTACTTTAATTACTGTTACTTGAGCCATGTGTCTGAAATTCTGTTAAATATAATTTTGAATTTGCCGCGTTCAGTTTACATAAAAAACATACAAACTGTTGGTTTCTGGCAAGGAAAGAAAAGAATAAAATATCAATTCGAATCTATTATAGTAAATTCTGTAGTAAATTGTGCACTAATGCACTATTAATATCAACAATTTACAATAATTGTCTTTGGCACATAATATAAATTTGGCACTTTTCTAGACCTTTGTCAAGGGTATATAACTTAATAATAAAACGATATGAAATAATATATTAAACATACTTGTGCTTTTAACAATATGAAATAATATATTAAACATTTGAATGCTGTTAAAGATATGTTAGCATTTTAATACATGAATAAGGATTGTAATTACAGAAGAATTACAGCATTGAATGTGATATATTATTACTGTATCAGTGTATTGATCCTTAACCCCTTAATTAAGCTGCAACTGTGTTGCTTAAGACAATTTTACTCGTCAAGGGGAGAGTCTTGCAAGCTCTTTATTAATGAGCTTCAGTTGTATAAAATGATTTGTTTGTAAAAGCTGGAAGATGTATGAGCACTGAGACAATGCCTCAAATGTTCTCTTTATATATTTTCAGATTAATATTGGAACTGGATTATAGCCCGGTGTAGACACAGGTTTACTTATTTCGAATATCTCTATTCTATAGACTGCTTTTTCCCGACGAAATAAACCCAAAAACCATGCTGACACACTCGACTGAATGTTTTTTCTAATATACATTACTATATACAATCTTACATGAAGTCTTAAACATAAAATGAACAAATGAATTAACATAAATTATAAAGCTATGAAAATGTCAAAACCATTTCTACATTTCCCCCTCCCTGATTCTACTAGAATCTGAAGTCAACTGTCCCAAAGTTTGAATACGAATGTTCATTAAACTACTAAAACGTTTATATTACTTATCTACAAATTCCAACCGAGAGATTCGAGATATTGATCTTCGATACGTACAATCTCCTACTTTTACATCTACAACTCTCACTAGTCCATCACCACCGGGATGTACACCAACGATTCTCCCAACTTTCCAATTTCTTCTCGGAGAGTCTGGATCGACTACCAACACAATGTCTCCTTCTTTTAAGTTCTCTTCTCGATCAAACCATTTCTTACGTGATCCAATGCTCGTAATATACTCTCGCATCCACCTCTTCCATGTTTGACATACCAATTCTTGGATTCTTCGCCACCGTTTTCGTGGATCAAAAGCTAACATGTCGACATTTTCTGGAGCCAGTTCACCACCCATATGTCCTATTAAAAAGTGGTTAGGGGTCAGTATTGGATCATCGTTCAGATCGTTGCTCGTCGCTGTTAAAGGTCTTGAATTTAACAAACTTTCGACTCCCGTGAACACCGTCAATAATTCTTCGTCTTTCACATCAGCGTTTCCCAGAATTGCTTTTATGGCTCTTTTGGCGGATTTAATCATTCTTTCAAAGACACCCCCAAAATGAGGTGCTAATGGTGGATTCCAATGCCAACGAATCCCGTTATTTGATGTCATACGCTGAATTATGTCTTGATCTAGATGCTGTACCAACTCTTGCAATTCATTGTTGCCTCCAACAAAATTTGTCCCGTTATCACTGAGCATGTCTCTTGGCCAACCCCGTCTGGCAACCATATGTGTTAAAGCTTTCAGAAATCCATCAGTTTCCAAAGACCATGCCATTTCCAAGTGAACACAATGTGTTTGAAGGCATAGGAACAGGCAGAGGTATCTCTTGATTCGGGACTTTCCACGACCTTGTATGGTAAAGAAAGGACCTGCAAAGTCTACTGCGCAATTTGTAAATGGTTTCATTGTGAGTTCTAATCGAATACGTGGTAGAGGAGCCATTTGTTGTTGTAACAGTTTCCCGCCGAATCTTCTCTTGCACTCACTGCATTCTTTCATGATTCTTTTAACCGTTTCCCGTGCATGCACAACTATATGGCTCTCGCAAAGATGATTCAGAGTATAATTTAGTCCCATTTGATGTCCTTCTTTCTCATGATGGTACTTGACGATCAGTTCTGTAACTGGATGTTTCTTTGGCAGGATAACAGGGTACTTCACTCGATTGGGTAAATGTTCTGCGTAACATAATCTTGTGTTGGATCTTAACAGTCCGTCCATTAATATCGGTGTAAACGTAAGGATAGAGCTCTTTTTTGGTAGATTTCTGTTTTGCTTCAAAGCTTCGATCTCGTCAGGATAACTTTCGTGCTGTGCTTTTTGACTAATTATTTCTTCTGTGCTGTGTACCTCGTCTGCTGTGAGTTCTCCATGAGTGCGTTCTTCCCTTGATCTACGGCAGTTATTGATGAATCTGTGGACCCACGAACGTACTCGTACCAACGAAAGTCCAAATTCCAACTTGTTCTCATTGTTTACTCTGTACCACTTCAAATATCATAAAGGATCCATATGCCATAATTGTTGTGCTTCTTGGGTCGTTGTCAGAGGAGGAGTGGTCACTATACCGTGATGCATTGCGAAAAATTATACATAATAATACATTATTGATTTTTCCACGAGGGCGCTCATTGTTCACTTGACCTTGACTATCAAAACAACAAGAGTGAGAAATATGGCGGATTTTATAAAGCCAATTCTCGGACATAAAGCTTCAGTTTTGGAAGGACACAATCTTCTTTTTGTTCATTGTGTATCGTCAGAGCCTATGCTGTTGGTTCCCAATGGGTTATCGTGTGTTCAGTTTGAATGCCGTGAGATTCACATCAGTTTTTTGCATAGTTTGGATATCAGAAGAATCGCTATTTGTCCAGCAACTGTTAATGGTCTAAAAGTTGACGAAATCTTCGCCGATTGCAATAGTCCATCATTGATAGAGATACATTGCAGCTGTGTTTTTAGGGTAAGTCGTTTGTTTTGATCATTTTAAAAAGCGAATTTAATACAAAGCCACAAATAATGTAGCTACGCTGCCTATACGCAATGCCAAAATATAGTTTTAATACTGACATTTTATAGTGTTTACTTCATTTTTAAGCTTTAGCTTTTATATAAATTCAGTTTTTGCTTTTTCTACGATTCAGATTTTTATAGCCAATGTTGGTAACAATATTTGTGCTCTCTATTTTGAATATGTGCATATAGAACTAAAAAATTATTATTGTGTAAACGTTCTCTGGTTAAAATTTTTAAAAAGATTAATTTTAACCAGAGAACGTTTACACAAGTAATTATGAATCCTGGTTTCGCCTCTATTTTAATGGTTTATAAATCCTGGCTTCGCCAATATTTTAATGGTTTATTGAGTTACTAGAGATCGAAGCTTAGACTGTTCATCTGGTTTGGTCATAGAGGTTTGATAATACTTTGATATTTTATAAATAGTATTATAAAAGTATAAATTAACTGAAGATTGTTTTCATATGTTGTAGTTCTCTGACCTCAGTGATCCCAGGCGAGATGAAACAGGACAATCTCTTATCTTCGAGAATGTTATTTTGTGGGATTTCGATATTCTGCCATCACCACCTTCTCAAGCAATTCAACCTCGGGATCCAGATACTGTTAATGAAGAGTTGGACAGTGTGTTGTCACCAATAAATTCACAAGAGCAAACTGGATGTAACTGTGATCTACAACCAATAAATCCTGTGTGCTTGGTGGGTATTCCAGTTCATCGCATATTGAATGAAGATGATGTGATGAGAGAAAGAGAGATGGAGGAAATCAGGGTGTTAACACAGACTTTGGATGTTCAAGATTCTGTTACAGAAGATACTAATGATTCCAGGGAAGCTGGTGGTGGTCTGGACGATGGTAATGATAGTGATGGTGGTCTGGATGATGGTGCTGGTGGTCTTGGTGGTAATGATGGTGCTGGTGGTCTTGGTGGTGATGACAGTGGTGGTGGTCTGGGTGGTGATGCTAGTGGCGATCATTCAGATAACAGAGAGATTTTATATCCTGAAAAATTTGTTGTGGTCGGGTCTTGGCAAGAACAAAGGTACCAAGGTGCTCTTGCAAGCGTATGTGGAGGAGATCAACAAAGCTTGATTTACAATTTAACGTGGAACCTGAACCAGACAATGTTAAAGACAAAAATGCTTTGAAATTTCAAATTTTTCACAACAACAAGTGGCATGTTATTGGTTATTGTGGGGTGAACAAAATACCTAAACTTAAGCGAGCTATGCACAGAAATGAAGTACGATCAATGTCTCTTGAAACTTTAAAGAGAACATATGCCCCCAGGGAGAAGGCTTTACTATACAGTGCAGCATTGCTGATTGTGAAAAGTGGACCATGGGACAGAGATGATCCAAGAAACAATTATAACAGTGACATAGATTTATAGAATATTATAAATTGTTGTTATTTTACTTTATTATGGATCCCTACATAGATCTGTTGGTTATCGGAAGCCACTGTACATTTGAAGGACTGTAAGGAGACAAAACGTATTCAAGGTAATTTACTACTTGCTATGTATAGTGATTACATAGTGGAAATTTTATTTGTGATGTACTGTAATACATTACTAACCTGCGATCAGGCCGATAAATAAATAAATAGGCCTGATACAAACCCTAAATCTGATTGGTTTATGAGACAAAATATTTTTTAATCTGTCATTTGATTGGCTGGTGCTAATTAGATTATACTATTGTCATTGATATATTTATACAGTAGTGTCACAACTATAATTAGATTGTTGTTGTCGTTGTGTGAAATTTAAATTTCTCCTGCGACATTTTGATTGGATACTAAATATAAACTTTGCTGTGGGTGGAAAGCGATTGGATTAAGGATTGTGTCAGGTATTATTTGTAAAATAGAGCCTGATCTCAGGTTACTACATTACCTAATAATCTTCCATAACTGTTTGCTATCAAATGTTAAAATTAAAACTACATATTACGTTTTTATGATTTTTTCAGGTGCTGTTACACAACATTATCTGTTGAGCTAGCTCTGTTGTTGGATGCTGTGATCAAAGGACTGGAAGAAGACGTGGAGGAAGATGATATCCTTATGAGTGATCCTAAGAACTTGGTAATTGGAACTGCAACATTTGGTGATGTAAGACACTCACTTCATTGTTCACAACTGTATAATACTAACAAATAAAACTACATATTATGTTTATGATTTTTACTGGTTTAGACATAATTTACAATGTTAAAGCCTGCCGATGGATATACAATGGATCTCCAAGTACCTTGTGCACTACTACAACAGGAAAATGGCATGATTTCCTCAAAATATTGTACATTATTATGTTTGTGGTAACGATGTATTGATTGCTTTTATAAATAGCTACATGTATCTATAATCTTATGTGATTACTTTAATTTTAATTTATAGCTGCGTTTTGGGTTGTTCAGTTGACTACCACCTCCAATGAAATGTACACAAAATTTATAGTAAGTATGAAAAACTGAGTAAGTTGGAACTGGGCATGCATGATTTTTTTCTGTTGAATAGACAGTTAAATTAAGTCCTAATCTAGTTCCTCATAACAGCATTGTCTTAAACATGTGTATATTGCTTGGGTTATGATGTCATGTTTCATGATTGATAATATTTTTACTAAGCATTTACTAGGTAAGCACAATGTTACATTTTTGTATAATTCAGATTTAGGAATCACATGCATATACTTCAGTAAGCCAGTTTAAGTGCATACAGCATTTCATCATAGTTTAATTTAAATATTGTCTGCTTTCGACTGGTGGTGAGTCCCGTCGGTCCGTGTACATAAGAGTAAGTATGAAATACTGAGTAAGTATGATCTGGGTAGGTATGACATTTTTTGTTTTAATTTTTCATCGCAGCATGTATATTGCTTGGGTAATGACGTCATGTTTCATGATTGATAATATTTTTTCTAAGCATTTACTAGGATAAGCACATTGTTACATTTGCAGAATTCAGACTTAGTTCACTTAATGAAGTGTGTATCATATCCTAAGGCAGTTTAATTGTACACAGTATCATATTTTAAGTTTTCATTTTTAATTTTTTATATTGCACAATAAATTTAGATTATTTGTTGTATTTGACATTAACTTGCAATTAGGATAATTATGCATAATATAAGATCCATCATTTAGGGTGATAAGATGCTTAACATGTAAATCTCGAGGTACAAATGATCAGTTTTGTGACTCTAGATATGTAAAGTTAAATAAGTGACAGTAGGTTTCTCTAGGCACATCAAAAGCACCGTTTTCTTAAAAACCAAGAGTCTTCCCATGTTTTGGTTTAATGAAAATGGTGCGACATTTCTAAAAGCATTTTATGTATTTCTTATTTCAGGTACTATACTCTAAAGCCCTGTTTACACTATGCTCAATTTTTGGTACGGCACGGATAAAATTGGTACCCATACCACTTTTTTGGTTCTTGGACTACCTATTTAGGTAGTCAAAGAACCAAAAGGTGGTACAGTACCAAAAATTGAGCGTAGTGTAAACGGGGCTTAGCTAAATAGTCCAAGAACCAAAAAAGTGGTACATGTACCAATTTTATCCGTGCCGTACCAAAAATTAAGCGTAGATAAGCGGGGCTTAATTATGAGTTGTAACTTGAATTTTTTGAAAGAAATAAAATTGTCATAATACATTTGACTCTGTGTATTTATTGTATTTTCTTCATATGTCAGATCCTCTGAGTGTTATTGGGTGTGACTTTTTACTAGTCCTTATCCAAATAACACCCCGGAACCTCTGGTACCTTATATAAGTACAGTATATCTATACTAATTGATTACGGATTTTATTAGTAAAGATGCATGATATATTATTTGGGACAGATGTACAGAACTGTGTCACCATAATGTCTTATTGCAATTAATAACAGCTAAGCTAGCCAATAGTATTTTCCTATTTTAGTAGTTACAGGTAAGGCAAATTCGTTTTCTCGAAATTTTTGCCGGCTTAATTAAGTTCGCTATAAATCAAATAGTCAAGCGCTATTTTGGGCTATTACATTTAACACCCCCCCCCCCCCCCTGTAGAGGACCTCCGATTTTGGGGATTTTTATCCATCTAGAATGAAACAAAAAGGTGTAATTGACTCACCTGAAGGAGACTTGAACCCCTGTTGGAAGTGCATTTTAATCCATCTGGAAACAGCGTTTTCCCCAAATACCCCTCATGGAAAACCGACTAATTACACCCACCCCCTCCCTTTGTCCACAACTGAACAGACAACGGGAAAATATTCTCCATTTGTTTTAAACACATTCACAGTGTGACGCCATGTGGTAAGATCCATATGGTAAGATCAACAGCGATCGCGACCACTCCTACCACGTGACGTCATGAATCGTTTTTTCCATCGTTCTGACGTCACACTGTGAGTGGTATCCGAAATAGACAATGGCAAAATCCATGCTATCTTAATCGTTGCATGAATGGAATAAGTATGTCACCCACCTTAAAAAACAGCAAAATACAATGCATCGTTTCTATCAACCTTGTTACCCTGGTAGACGCTGGTCACGTGATCTGCTAAAATGTATCGGATTTCTAATTAACTATCTTGGATTCCTTTACGACAATGACACAAAATGCTAATTATAAATTAGGCTGTGGGAATCATCCAGATGTCAGATATTTATTGACCTAGTCTTGGATTGCTAATTGGGAATCTGCTAGATTTTAGCAAATCACGTGACCAGCGTATATACCAGGGCACCATGATCTCTTCTCAAAATTAAGGCTATGTCTTAATTGAATCACCAGGTTTGGATTGGAGTGAGACCAGGATTAGATTAGGAAAAGGGTTAGAGGTTAGGGTGGGGGGGGGGGTTAGGGTTCAAATTAAGGCGATGTCTTCATTTGAATGCTTTTACAATTAAGACATAGCCTTAATTTTCGGAAGAGATTGAGCTGACCAGGGGCTTTTCTTCCCTCGCCAACAGGCAAGACCCTGGGTACGAGGTTGCCTATCAATCTGGATTATTACATTCGGCAAGCGTACGTCGTTTTTGGTCTGATGTACAAAAAACGGACAATATCAACGTCCCCGGACACAATTACACAAAGATAAACTCCTTCCAATCAGTCTAAAAGACTTCACACTTTAGACTGCCTGGCCCTGTGGCTTTTAGCTCACGTAAAATTATTATATTTTGCCTTAGGATTGTCGCAAAAAATGTCTTGGAATTACTATCGTTTCTGAGTCGGTTGGTTATACAAATACAATAAATACACTAATTCTAATTGTATATTAAAATAATTTATTTATTTCATAAAATTCAAGTTACAACTCATAACTAGAGTATAGTACCTAAAATAAGAAATACATAAAATGTTTTTAGAAATGTCGCACCATCATTTTCATTAAACCAAAACATGGAAAGACTCTTCGTTTTTAAGAAAACGGTGCTTTTAATGTGCCTAGAGAAACCTACTGTCACTTATTTAACTTTACATATCTAGAGTCACAAAACTGATCATTTGTACCTCCAGATTTACATGTTAAGCATCTTATCGCCCTAAATGATGGATCTTATATTATGCATAATTATTCTAATTGCAAGTTAATGTCAAATACAACAAATAATCTAAATTTATTCTGCAATATAAAAAATTTAAAATGAAAACTTAAAATATGATACTGTGTACAATTAAACTGCCTTAGGATATGATACACACTTCATTAAGTGAACTAAGTCTGAATTCTGCAAATGTAACAATGTGCTTATCCTAGTAAATGCTTAGTAAAAATATTATCAATCATGAAACATGACGTCATTACCCAAGCAATATACATGCTGTGATGAAAAATTAAAAGAAAAAATGTCATACCTACCCAGATCATACTTACTCAGTATTTCATACTTACTCTTATGTACACGGACCAAAGGGACTCACCACCAGTCAAAAGCAGACAATATTTAAATTAAACTATGATGAAATGCTGTATGCTCTTAAACTGCCTTACTGAAGTATATGCATGTGATTCCTAAATCTGAATTATACAAAAATGTAACATTGTGCTTACCTAGTAAATGCTTAGTAAAAATATTATCAATCATGAAACATGACATAACCCAAGCAATATACATATGTCTGAAGCAATGCTCAAAGCAGAATTAGGTTAGGACTCAATTGTTTATTTGACAGAAAGGAGTGCGTAACTACCCAGAACGATCAGATCATACTTACTCAGCATTCATACTTACTACCTTTTATGCAGCCTACACTTCATAACTTGGATCGCCAATTGATAGCAGTCAACACAACAACCCAAAACAGTAGCTTTAAAAGCAATCAATAAATTTTAAATTATTACCAGAAACAGAACAACTATATGTTGAGGACATCGTACCATTTTCTTTTGTAGTGCTATCTAGAAGACCAATTTGCCATCATTTGTTTGGAAGGCTTGAACATTGTAATATCGATACCTGCAAAAATCCTAAAATAAACATAATCTGTATAGTTTTATTTAACAATTATTCACCAAAGGCGAGGTGATTATCAGTTAATAAAAACCGAGATGAAGTCGAGGTTTTTATTCACGATAATCTCCGAGCCTGATGTGAATAATTGTTTTAGTATAATTTCATAGGTGATTATTTGGAAAAAAATACAAAATACACATTTCTTCGTCATTTAATTGACAAAACGGCTTCGGTCGCCATTTTGAAAATCGCTTAGGTGATTATCGCGCATAATAACCTCAAAGGCAACCAATCATAGTGGAGAATTTTCAATAATCACCTATGTAATTATACTGATTGATATTATTATACAGTTGTGAACAGCAAATAGGTGTCTTACATAACCAAATGTTGCAGTTCCAATTACCAAATTCTAAGGATCGCCCATAAGGATATAATCTTCCTCCACATCTTCTTCCATGGCTTCTTCCAGTCCTTGGATCGCAATGTTCAACAACGGAGGTTCAACGACGGGTCTGTGTAAGTGTTGTCGAACTGTCGTTTGGTTGCGTGCTGGCAAAAACCACCGTCCTGCTGAGAATATTGAGGAGTCTTCTCGTCGGTTAACAGATAGATTGTGGAGACGTAGAGGGTGATCTTTTGGGTCAATGTCATCCGGGACTTCGTCAACTTCGTTAAAACTTGGCATTGTTTCATCAAAATCTCTGAAGCGCTCATTGCTTGTCCAGTAATAACATGGCAAATCTTTATCAATTCGTTTACAATACTCTCTAAAAGTGAAAGTATAATAAATCATTACGGTAAATCCTTTTTGATGAACATAATTCTATATAATCAATGCTTTATACTTGTTAGAGACATGTTTTCAGCAATTATCCCATTACACCATCAGATATTTCTCTTTTTTATGTATCGTTCATTGTGATCTTTTGTTGAAGCTAGCACACAGTAAATTTTGTATCACTTATTATGGCAAACGTTAGTTGCTAAAAAAAGTCGGTCACAAGGAACTACATAACTGTATCGTATTATAGTCTGAAATACTATAGTTATATAACTGTAGTTAAAATTATGTCGTGCTGAACATTTGTTAGGGGTATAATTCTTTCAACATACACTTTCTTTACCTGACAACCTTCTTCCATAGAGATTTCATATCTTTCATTGTAAATATATTGCCAAGAAAACGGTGCAACAATGAAATGAAGCCCTCCACATCATCTGATGTCCCAGCTCTGGGATGCTTGGGATATCCAATTCTTCCACTCTCTCTCCTGCGATATTCAACACTTTCGATGTTAGTGGTTACAGCAATTACAGTCTCTCTTGAGAAGCCACAAATTCCCTTGATTGGTCTACATAAAATAGATCAACACAATTTGTCGTTTGTGTGCTGTAAAGTATTAAAAATAAATGTTTTCATTTCACCACCTGACACATGTACTGTGAAAACACAACCATAACTTTAACATCTACTGTATTACACTAAAATTTTGTTGAAATAACTTAAATTCTGATTTTATAATTAAACTAATTCAAGTCTTCCTTGTTTGAAATTCCATTTTACACAAAAATCCGTTATTAAAAATTCAAATATTTATGAACACTTTTCGAAGTTCTTAACTTTTTGTTTTCGAAGTTCTTAACTTTTAATACAACGAACAAAACAAAAACTTATCAACTTGGGAAAAATTAATGTTCATATAAACTTTACAGTATAGAATACAAAAAAAAATCAAGTCTTTTTTATACAAAATGATCGTTATATTCACTTTATTTTTAGATTTACTTACTAACTTACTTACTTACTTACTTGCAGATTTATTTAGCCACGCTGGCCATACACAACATAGTAGTAAATAAAAATACAATACGGTGATTTTCAGATGGGGCGTGTTACAATGTACTGTACAATACCTATTTACGTCGATTGTAGCTAAACTCGTAGTAGTATTGTGCCATGGCATCCAGTCATCCAAGATCATGTTGAGCATAACGTAGTTCTTCTTACATCGTTGAAGCTCAGAAAGACCTCTACGATCTGCAGCTGCATGCCATCCTGCAACAATATCGATGTACTCTCCTTCTTTCTGGTAACCATTCTCACGGAGGAACTTTGCAACAAGAAAGGACATCATTCTTTCAGCATCAACAACAGATTGTTTTTGTTCACCTGTAAGGGCTGCATGTGTCAAACCAGTGTTCGGGTCACGCATTGCGTCATCGAAGCCCTGTAAGTTAGTTCCAGGTGGTCCTTCCTCTCTTGTGTGCTTCCAAATTCGTTTCAGAATGTGGCAGTGATCTTCTCTTTCATGAAATGCTTCACCAGTGGCATCATCAATTTCCGGTATGTAGATATAAGTTGAAAAGTCAACACCCTCCGACATATACTTGCTGACAGCATGCCTAAATCGATACGTTGCAACAATGGACTTTAGCATATCACCCAGGCATTCCTCTGTTCCATTCCTGAACAGAAAAGGTTCGAATCCTTCTGGCACTAAGGACATCCTTATGCGCTTTACAGCCTCAAATAAAGCCATTCCATCATGCCTCAAGTTATGCAACAGATTGATGATATCAGATGGTATTTCTGGATCTACTACTTCTGTCAGGGGCATGCCGTCCTCATCATCTGAAATAAAAAAAATATCTGTTGACTTATGTAAAACTTTTTAGAAGTTAGGGATGTCCATTACATATCGTGGCGATGTTTGGGTGTTAGTTACAGTAATGGGTTATACTGCATATACCGGGTGCCCCCCCCCCCCAATTTGTATTGTTTAATTTAATCTAACACAAAAACTACTACAAGATTCAAAGATTCATATAACGTTATATAGTACAGTATTTCTCACCAAATGTTACAGTCGCGGAATAGAAGGGTTCCAAAAAATATTGAACAATTAATTTGGTCATGTTTATCAATTCATTTGAGGAGTTCCTCTAATATTTTACAAAGTTCTTGAAAAACTCCTAACTTCCTGTTGGTTTTGACATATAACTGACTTCATATTTAAAATTGACCAATCATATGTGATCGAAACAGGAATTTCGGAATTTTTCCAGGTAACATATTCGAGGAACTCCTCAAATGAATTGGTAAACATGAGGCAAATGAATCGTTCAATATTTTTCTGAACATTTCTATTGCTGACTGTGAGGGAATATCCGCCATTTTTTTGGGTGCTTTTTTTTTATTACATGAACAACATAAAAAACGAATTTTAAAATTTATAAATTGCACAAATGTCAAATGTCATAAATTTACTGCTACATATATTTTATACAATTACATGCTTTTGGTAAAAAGTTCTGTTTCATTCTATTTGTGGTGTTTACTGTATTCTCTAAAGCTTGGAAAAACAGTTCCCAAAAAGGGTGAATAAACCGAATATGATAAAGGTAAATTCAATACATATCCAAGCTCTTTCAACTTTGAAACAAGTTAATCTTTTACATTATCCTGTAAGTAGATATAGTAGTACCTCTAACTTTCAAAAGCAATTTCAATAAAGATGACTCAGATTTCCTGCTGACACTTTCCCGAGCATCTCGTATCAGTTGAACCAAGTGTAATGGACGCTTTTGTCCTTTAGTTCTTAAGCTATTGAACTCCCCGTCTGTGACAAAACCTAAATTAACATAGTTACATTTACTGAATGATTGTACTCTTATGTTCAACACATAGGAGTCATTGTAACTGATTAGAGTATGATTGTGTGGTGTTACTCTGAGTGTATATCCACGCCGGGCAGGCCCAAAAAATATGCCTGGCCACGGTGGGAATTGAACCTACGACCTTTGGAATAATAGCCCAATGCTCTGCCAACTGAGCTACGTGGTCAGGTCGGTTCGAGTATGCGATATTTCGGAACTGAGTCTAGTTCTTTCTATATCAGTGTAATCTAATAATCATGATATTTGCTGTGTTGGTGTAATGTACTCAGGTGAATAAGATGCTTGTGATGTTACTCTGAGTGTATATCCACACCAAGCAGGCTTGAAAAATATGCCTGGCCACGTGATTATTAGATTACACTGATATCGAAGGAACTGGACTCAGTTCCGAAATATCGCATACTCGAACCGACCTGACCGCGTAGCTCAGTTGGCAGAGCATTGGGCTAGTATTCCAAAGGTCGTAGGTTTGATTCCCACTGTGGCCAGGCATATTTTTCGGGCCTGCCCGGTGTGGATATACACTCAGAGTAACAGTCCACACAAGCATCTTACAGTATTCACCTGAGTACATTACACCAACACAGCAAATATCATGTTTAGAGTATACCAATATTTACCAGCAATACCTGCAATGATGCAATTAATTAAATATTAGATACTGTATCTATTGTACTTACCAATAGCAAGCATGTCAAGTTTAGCCATCTCTACCCTGATCTTACTGATCAATTCTCGCACAGTCTGATCCTTCAATGAAAGGTACGGAACATACTGAATTGGCAGGCAGTAAGGTTTCTTGTTCCGGCACTCATCAGATAGGAGGAAAATGAACACATGTGTGGCTGCTGGCTGTCGTCTCTTCACAAACAAATTCCTCAGGTAGTTTTCCCATTCACCTTTCTTTTCATGCATACTCTTCTGGACATGCAACACTTGAGAACTCTGGACAACACTGACTTTTAAAGTGGTCACATATGAAAGCAAAGCCTGGCACTGCTGTAAGAGCTCAGTATACTCAGCTCTTTCCCATGAAAGTTCCATTAACACCTTTTTCGATGGATTTGGTTTTTTATATTTGTCCATATAAGTTTTGAGTGCCTTTGTTGCGCCTTGTGATAAAAACTGCTTGTCATTCTCAAGATTTTCAGTCTCAATATCAGAAATCACTTTTTCCATATCATCCTGTGATGATGCCAAATCTTTAACGATCTTCACTTGTCCCTCATAATCAGTTCTTAGTTTCTGAAGGGCACCATCTCCAAGATCAGCATCTCCATTCCAAACACCCTTAACTGATTGCTGAAGTGCTGGTTTAATGTCACACCTGTCACCTTTGATCCAGAATCTCCTGGAAGGATACGCATCTTTCATCTCTTTAAGTGCTTGCACCTAGTATAATACATAAACATGTTTAAAAATATGTACTAATTGTAATGTACTTTATTTAACAAATACATTTCATTTCCATCTGTGTGCATGTTTCTTCTGATTAGACTGTAATACAGGTAGATCTCATGACAAAAAAGCGTGTAAAAAACATTAGATGTCATCTTTTGCAGACTTTACAGTGCTGTACATGCAGATGCACAGTGACTCAATGGGTTAAAATAAGTACTATATACATGGCAATATATAGGCCAGTTTTCAACCTTTTGAATGATGGTTTTTAAGGTGCATTTTAGCCCTTTTAATTAATTGAAAGCTACTGTAACTAGGAAATAATAAAATTATAACTAATTCAAGATCAATAAACTCATTGTTTGTGACAATAAAAATGTTTTAAAAGGTTAAAAACATTAAGTTTGCTGATCTTGAATTATGCTTAATTGATTTTCCTATTTACTTTTTTCAATTAAAATGGCTGAGATGAACCTTAAAAAATCATCATTCAAAAGACTGAACTGTGCGTTTAAAGGCACAGTTCAGCCTTTTGAACGATGGTTTTTAAGACGCATTTGAGCCCTTTTAATTGAAAAAACTAACTAGGAAAATCAATTAAGCATAATTCAAAATCAGTAAACTCGATGTTTTTAACAATATAAATGTTTTAAAATGTTAAAAACATTAAGTTTGGTGATCTTGAATTATGCTTAATTGATTTTCCTAGTTAGTTTTTTCAATTAAAAGAACTGAAATGCGCCTTAAAAACCATCGTTCAACAGGCTGAACTGTGCCTTTAAGCACCAGCACTATATATCCCCTTGACAAGTAAAATGTCTGACATTAGACAGAGTCAAATAATAAAGTACAGTATGGCACATCAGATCTCATGGATTAATTAGTTATATCTATGCAAATAGTTCAACACAATTGGCTAACAAAGAAACAACACAGCTCTTATTGGCTAACGCTTTATGTACTATTTAAAAAATGAGCAGGAGTGTTTTATTAGGTTTAAAGCCCTAATAAAACACAACCTGCGAGTTTTTTAAATGGCTTCAAAAACGTTTGCATAATAAGTCAAATCTTTATATAAAAATCTTTATATAAAAATCTTTATATATTAAATATCTTTATATAAAAATCTTTATATAGTTTGCATAACAATGGTCTTTTGTTAAAGTGTTCTTTAGCTGGTATAAAGACGTATGCACATGAATAATTGCTTACTCAAGATTGGATAATTGCTTCATGAATTATTAATGAGTTTTTGAAGCAGTTTTATAACTTTGTGACATATCATCTGTGTATCTATCCTTTACATAAGCACACATGATCCTCAACCAATCAAATGGCTTGTTTTACTAGTGTTTTTGTATAAATCATTATATCAAATGAGCACACCTGTATGATAGGCTCAGTGCTAAATTGTGATGAATCTGTCTTCTTTGCAACTGCCCTAGTTCCAATACAGGCTACATTGACTTTTGCCTAAAATGAAAATAGTAATTACAACATGGCTGCAAATAAATATTTGACTTGACAGGACATTTGTCCGATCATTTTTAATTTTGGTCGGACATAACTTGAATTTGGTCGGACAAAAACAAGCATCACTAAATTTGGTCAGACATAAACGTCACAAGATTTAACAAATATAAAACATTTTCTGTGTTGATATACAGTTATATCAACACGAGTGGAATTGGGAAAACGAGAAATTGTATGGAAACACGACGCCCGAAGGGCGGAGTGTTTTCATACAATTTCGAGTTTTCCCAACTTCCACAAGTGTTGATATAACTACAGTATATATCAGCACAGAAAAAATGTTTTATATTTTTTTTATAATATAGCATTGTCAAAAGCCCGAAGGATAAGAAAAATTTCTGTGTTTACAAGCGGCAGAAAATTTCCCGTGCTGACATTGAGTTATATCAACACGGCTCTTAGCCAATAAGCGTTCAGAATTTACAAATGCTATATTATAAATACTGTATATAAGTCACAAGACAAGTATATGTATGCCATTCCGACGCAACATTAAGTAAAAGTAAACACTAGAACGCCTTGTAAATTTTATTGCAAAATGCAAATTGAGTGAATTTGCAATCGGATTTTGTCACAACAAAAAAATGTATAATATGTGACAATTTTATGTGATCGAACCAATATCCGATCAAAATTACTTTTGCTCGGACATTTGCCAAATTTAGTCGGACATTGTCCGATGTCCGACAGTAATTTGCAGTCCTGTTACAATGAATTTCAAATGTTTTGGCAAAAGCTATTCCAAACTTTATTGTGAATATTTTACAAGTTCATTCCCAATTTTGAAAATTTATTGGAAAGTTCATTATGAATTTATATCACACAAACTTGCTTATGAATTAACAATAGGCCAACGTGTTCTGTTAATCCACAATGTGGCCCCATGATGTACCCTTTTACTAAGTCAAACCTAGAGACAATTTTATTTGTTTAAGTCTTGCTTGCATGTTTAATGGGTATAGTGAAAATACTTGAAGCAAATTCCTTATCTAGATCTGCCCCCCCCCCCAGCTGATGATAAGAATTGCAAGGAATGTGGATGTGATACGAGGGCCGACAGAACCATAATTGACATGGATTTCTGTGGTAATTTGATTTCTTTGTATAATGATCATAAACGAAAGCCACAGTTGCTTAATAGCCAAATTGCATGAGAAATGGAAAAGGGGCATTATTTAAATCCTGTGGACTAGTAATTAAAAAATTTTCATATACATAAAGTACTTGCATTTAAATTAACTGACCTTATCTGTGTAACCATGGTCCTCTTTATCAACACCACTCCACATTGGACCCCTGAATAGGCGGTTAAAGCGTGTGGGAAACTCAGCACACAAACTTTCATGCCGTTGGAGGAAGTCATCTGGCATCTTAATCTTAAATGACAAAATGACATGTCTTTACTTTTAAAAAACCCAGCTCAGAGAGTCTTGCACTCTAATGGGTTAATACAAAGGGACATCTACCATAATTACTGTGCATACTGTACCTGCAGTGGCCTGACTATTTAGTCCTGCTATGCAAATTCAAAATTATTATCATTTTACTCATTTCTTTAGAAATTGATTGTTTTCACAGTCAATGAAAACGAAAATATTTTCATAGCAGGACTAAATCGTCGGGTGGCTACGCTACTGCATACCTGAGTAGAATAAGTTATCTAACTACCTGAAAAATAAAAACGTAATTTCTTTGACATTTTGAGTGCATGAAGGCCCTTTGTCAAACTTCTGTCATATTTTTCAGGTACTTGGATATTGCTACCTACACAGGCAACCCCATTTGCAAGCATATACACACCTGTCTAACATTAGTGGAACTAAAAATCTCTATTTGATATTCCACCAATCCAAATGGCATTCTGTCCATTGGAAATACAGGCTCACCAGTAACTTGATTAGTCTTGCATAATGCCAATGCAAATTTGTACAATAGATTGTGCTTATTGTTCTTTTTTAAAAGTTCCATTGCTTGAATAGACAATGAACAATAATTTGCAGGATTAGATGATATATTATGTGCAACAGCAAGCTGCATGAACAGTTTGTTCAATAATAATTCTAAATCAGCATTCTTCAAAAGACATGCAAGGTTGAACACATTTTCAACTGTAATTAGTAATGGTTGAGTATTGCTTGGTGTTGATGGGGGTGGTGGTGTTGATGGGAGTTGTGTTGTTGATGGGGGTAGTGGTAGTGGTGTTGGTACTGGTGTTGGTGGGGGTACTGGTGTTGGTAAGGGTGGTGGTGGTAGTAGTGGTGTTGGTAGGGGTGGTGGTGGTATTGTTGCTGGTTTTTGTTTACCATGCTTAGCTTGTCTTCTATCTATAACAAGTTCTGCCAAACTATCAGACAATGTCAGGCCATAATGGATCTCTGCATTCTCAAATGTTGCAAATTTTTTCCTGTAGAAACTATTCACTTGTGCTCGCAAACGGGAATCTATATATAAGGAACAACAGATCAAATAAGTCATAAGTCAGTATATAAGTTTTTTTATGATGAATTTAAGATTAATATATATAGCCCTAAACGAGGCATATGAATGTAGGTCAGCAATCAGCAAATGCCAACAAGATTGCTAGTCAACATGTCATGTCAGGAACAAGGTAGAAAAACCCGGCAAAAACGACCTAATACAGACCTGCATGTTTGCATTTCAAATCTTTAAACTGTTGCTGACTTGATTATTTAATCATTCAGAGACTCACCTGCTATTTAGTAGTTTAGAATTAATAAAAGGGTTGTCTGCATGCATATATCACATATATTTCATCATTCAAAATATTATTTTCAATTATTGGTTTATGGCCAGAATACATGAATATATAAATCCAAACCCCAATATCTTAAAGCTTACCCTACTATGGGTAAGGTCAGGTGTACAGTAAGGTCAGATTATATTTGTGTATTCTGGACATGAACATATTACCCAAATCTCTGCCTACAGCCAGGGTTTTTTTCAGGATTTTCTCTTGGGTCCATTTTTGCAGAGAAGATCGAGTTTAGCTGAACAGCTGGGGTGGCTGTACCTCCCAAAGATGGCGAATGCATAGTTTTTCTTGTGTTGTGAGATGAATTCCAGTCATTTTTTTTAATTGTCAGGTTTCCAACTGAAAACTAATTTCCACACGTCACAAATTTAACTCAAACAACTTCATTTTTACTGCACTGAAACGTTGGTGAGAAGATTGAGTTTCAAAACTCAATTCAAGATTGAGTTTTTTGGGGCCGTTTAACGGCCCTAAAAAATCCCTGAAAAAAACCCTGACAGCCTATATATACTTCTGTCATAATTACATGTAATTTGTCCTAGGGGATGTTAGAAATAATTTATATGCATTATTAAAATAGTAAGCCACCACACCATAATCACCCCCCCCCCCCACCTGGTTATTACATGGAACTGTCAACACCAGATAAGAAAAAAATTGAGACATTTTACATATAAAACTCACTTGAAAGGACGATATTTGACGAAGTGCTACATTGAATATGTTTGGCACCATCGGGAGAAACTGTTTTATCCTTAAATCCTGGCCACTTGACACTAGTCAACATTTCTCCATACTTTGGATCTGTTCTGGCAATAGATATGAACTCAATAAAGGCTTTATTTTCCTCAAAGGTCCATTTATGTTGTTTCACTGGTGACTTCTTTGAAGGAGTCAGCCTGATCTTTCTGCTAGGAAACTAAAAAAAAGTATGTCATTTACTAAAATGGAAATTGAGTCACAGTTGACATAATAGCTATAAATAATATGTTACATAAGAGGTGTGTTATACATTGTCATTGAACCATAATTGTGTTTATATTTAATGCCTTTACTGATGTGCCAGGACTTTGAAACAAAGATCGACTGGATGATGAATTTTCTACACAAGATAGTCTTTGGGTTTTTCTTGTTGGTTTTCCTGGCGTATCACCTACATAATTATATAACCGCTTAGTAGTGTCTGTTTCCTCATTTTCTAAATCACGATCAACAATGACAACATCGCCATCATTATCAGGTTCCATTTTTGCTCCAATAAACTCGAATTCTATAAAAACAAATTATACAATACGTTAGGAAAGCTAACTTAAGCATACCTAAACATAAACATAGCATTTAACCCAAGTACATATTAATATTTTTGCTTGTGTGCATTATTATACCAATCTGTCTTGTTGATTTACGTCGCGTTCACGCCATATAAATCCTGTAGACTGTAGAGTACTTTTTTCCCGCAATTGGCGATATCGGAGATGATGTTAAAGCAAAATACCCCATTTTCAAACAACTATTACTCGTCGGTTTCAGGGGCTTTTTTATGTTTTAATGTACCAATAGAAAGAGTAACCATTACTGAATAAAATGATGTGAATTTTATTGAATTTCCCGATTTATAAACCATTCAATTCCCTGCACATATCAAAGCCGTTTTTGTGTCATATGCACTACACCTGAAATATACCCCATTTTCAAACCGCGATTACTCGTCGGTTGGAGAAGATTATTAATGTTTTAAAGTATCAACTAGAACCGTGACTCTTCCCGAATTCAGTGATGTGAATTTAGCAGAATTTCCCGATCTATAAACTATTTAACCTCCAACGTATATAAATGTCATTTCTTTTATGGCCATTACACTTACCCAAAATATACCCCATTTTCAAACCGCGATAACCCTTCAGTTCGAGGGGATTTTTTATGTTTTGAAGTACCAATAGAAAGAGTAACTCTTCCTGAATTCGATGATGCAATTGTGTTTAATTTCCTGTTCTAAAAACCATTTAACCCCCGGCGAATATCAAAGTCACTTTTGTGACATGTGCACTGACCCGAAACAAAGGGTAATTCAAATTATGCGTGATTAACATAACTGAAACATGATATGACAACCACATAAAATAAAAATCGTGCAATTAAGGTCACAAATAAAACAATTATAAAAACGTACCTTCCAAAAATCAAAATTTTCAGAGTGAAAAATCACGATAAACAACCACAATTTTTTCAACAAACATCTCTCAAAGACTCGCAAAGTTCAATTCTGAATATTAATGAGAAGCAATGCATTGTGGTATAGTGACCACTCCTCCTCTGGGTCGTTGTATTGAAACTTAAGGACTGGTCATTTGTAGACACACTCTCTTGTTTTCGTGCTTCGACATTCAACTCTTTACACTTTACTGAGTTAAGTTCTATTTCGATCTTTTCTTCAGGCCATGCATCTTTAGTTTTCTTCAGAAATTCCGGGCCAAACCACCACTGCTGACTGTTTTTCATCTCGCTGAGTACTTTAAAAAGCAACTCTCCTGGCTTAAAGATGAAAATTACTATGACCCTGATGACGAAACAGATAGGTTAGTTAAATAACTGCCATTATTTGTTCTTTATTACTTGATATTTTACTAGTATTATTGATCGCAATGGACATGGTGACATTCAGTTAACTCCCAAATATCTGGTTACAATTTTCTTGATAGAATGATCTTGGCATTTATTCTCATACCCTTGCTGCAAAAGGAGCTAGACGTTTTCAAGGATACCATTTGGAATTCACATAGAATTCGCCAGCAAAAGGAAACTGATTTACCTAATGGTGTCCCTAACCATATATATGCTTTCCCTGATTCATATGGCTTGGAAGATTGTGGTAAAGTATATACACCAACCTTGTACTGAATAACAATGAGCGAATTAGAATTCCTGTCAGGCATGACACAATTAAGACGATAACAAAAGCAAACAATTTTTTCTATTGCTGCAGGTTGGCCAGTTAGTGAAGAGGAATTGGAAAAGGTGGCTGAGCTCTCTGGTGTCCTGGGTTGTCCTGATGATTTTCTACATCAAGAATTCAGAGGAGAATGTGAATGCTTAATTCCAGATGTAAATAGCATCACTCCGAAAGATTGGACTGATGCTTTTTGTTCCTTAAAGACAACTTTAATTTGTAGTTTCATATTCATTGTTATAGTATCATTCTATATTTACTCCAAATTGAGAAATTCCATCCCTTTTGGTTCAAAATGTCATTGTGCCCTTTAAGGTTCAAAATGTTATTGTGCCCTTTTTGGGTTTTATGTGTTTGGAAGGTTGTATTAGGATGAGACATGTTGAACATCTTTGATCTTACACAAATGCACATAAGTTAGGCCTCAGTTACACGATTCACATTGGAGTGACATCAACTTAAGATGCTTCCAGTATTGTCTGCTCTCAGAAATTTCCATTTTTGCAATTTTTGTTTAATTCTGCTATATTGTCATAATTTTAAGTGCTAAATGCATCTTGACATAGCAAAATTTAATGTCGTTCCAATAGTAATCTGGTATCGTATAACCGAGGCCTTAGTGTTGAGAAATGGGCAATGAAATTAAATTCTCACTGGAATCTCGAAAACATTTACAAGACAAACAATGCCTTATAAAACACAATTGTTTTTCTCTACAAGTAAGCTGTCCAAACAATCTTAAAAAAACAACTACAGTATAGATGAACAGTAAACTATAAAGTGAACTTTCTGTATCTTTCAGAAAAACTAATTTATTCAATGGCAAGGCATATTTTAAGGATTTAGCAGTGGGGGGTCAATAAAACATTAACAGACAAAGAGTCTGACCATTCACACTGTTAGGGACCCAATGTATTGTCTGAGGTAGCAGTTGGAATACAATAATATTTTAAAAGGGACTGGGGGCAATTTTGTTTGAGTGAGGGGCCAACAAGGGGGGGGGGCAAATGACCCCCCCAGTATATGTTAAAATATGCCTCGCTCAGTGGTGTAGAACCATGCACATAATGTCCTGCCTAAAGAAGTGATGGCAGTTCCAGAAGTTTGCAATATTCATTGCATTCATGGAATACACAGAAATTGTTAATTGCATTTGATGACAGGTTTCCCGTGCAAAAGAGATACTCGCCATCTGAAATGATTTCCATCGTGGCAATTTCAGGGTCAAATAAAATAGATGGTTGTTGCAACCCTGTATATCCAACACCATTAGCTGTTTCTCTGATTGCTGAAAGGAATAGTGAGCGAGACATGCTGCTTTCTTGCAAATAGCACTAGTGATATCTCCACAAACATCACCAGTGTTGTTTATATGTTTGGTGAATGTTCCTGCTATAAATTCTTCCACAGTAACACATTCCTCTCCACATTTACCAAAATATATTTTGTTATACTTTAGGAATTCACCAAAATTCTCCAATTTATTTCTTTTTTCCATTTCTTGCTTCAGTCTTGCAGCGAAATGTTGTGCAAGACTGTGCATCTGGACCACTTTCTTGGTGTGCTGTTCTACGGTCTGACCAGTAACACCAATGTCTTGAATAGCTTGTGGGAGGTATTTCTTCACCACCCATGTAGTTGACCGGAACTCTTTTGCTTGGCTTGTAGCTTTGAATGCATTTCGGAATCCTCCCGTCCCAAATGGGTCTTTTTCAATCACAAATTCAACAACACTCGGGTGTTTTGACCAACATATCTGATCTAGGTCGAACTTGAATAGCTGTACTTCTGTTGTCGGTGCTTTTTTGATTTCTTTCCCAAGCTTGAGCATTTCTACTAGTGACATACTTCTTGGAATAAACTGACTTTCTTTAGCAGATTGCTGTCCAGCCGGTGTTGGATGCGAATTGGTTATGCTTGGCCCAGGTAAAGCCAACCGTGGCCTTTTTCTTTTATGTCCTTCGTCGACGTTGCTTCCTGCACCTGCATCAGAGCCATGAATAAAACGCACGTGGATCACTTTAAGATCAGGTATTTGCTTAATCGACGAGCATGATGGCCCCTGTACTCCAGCAACAACATCACAAACCATTTCACCAACATCAAAGTGATTTAAGCAGGCACGTTTTATGTTATCTACAGTTACCTCATCATATTCGAAGGACACAAATTCTCTGGCACCTATTCTGGTATATTTTTGTGCCTTTCCTGAAACATCGGCGCTGAGTCGCTGCACAACAATGCATTCTTCCTCTAAGATACTAACTCCTGAATTATTTTTTTTCTTCCCCGTTCTTTTCTCTTTCATTTGTGCTTTGTAATTCTTCCACACGGCACGATCGGCCATATTGGCATCGAAAAATAACCCGCGCTTTCCCGAATTCCCTCGCTTTCCCGAATTCCCGCGATTGAATAATACACGCGCGCAAGCGCGCGTTATTCTTGCGCGCGTTATGGCCTCAAATACAGCAATGCATTATGGTATGCTATGATAGCGCTAGGCCGATAAAACTTTTACTTTTAATTTACTTAAATTTTGAATTTGCTTTCATTTTGAATTGACTTTTAATTTACTTTCATTTTGAATTTACTTTTACTTTTAATTTACTTTTACTTTTAATTTACTTTTACTTTTAATTTACTTTTAATTTACTTTTACTTTTATTTTGAATTCATTTTACATTCATCTTATTTTTGTTTGATATATTAAAAGTGACTTCATTGTATTTATTAAAAAAACGAATGATAGCGATCAGCCACCATACTCCACTTTTGGAGTCAATTCGACTCCTTTGGAGACAAAATGACTTCTAAATATCGGAGTAAAGAAAAGTTTTTAACTAACTTTAGAAATCAATAAAGACATTTTTCGACTCAAAATAATTTATTATCCCTACAAGTAAGGTATATTATAGCAGGAAATACAATTTGCTGTAGCATAATATAATGATATACTCTTACGCCCTATAATATTTAATGAAGTTCTAAAATGAAATTTTGATTAGAATGATATCATGAATACATGTGGAATACAATTACAAGCCTGTCAGCATGAATTGAACCTGCAGCCCTGCAATTCTACCACAGCCCTCTGACCTAAAGAGCCCTTTTGCCAAGAGGTAACCACAAGTTGCTGTATATATACCATGGTGGTGTCATTGGTAGTATATTAAATGAACTGCCCAGGATGACACTAGTATTATATACATGAACTCTTGGTTACAGTAGAGCTTGATTGACTCTCAGGGCGATGGACTCTTAGGGCTTGAGGACCCTTGACGGTTAAAAAGCTGATCAGAATCACAGGGCAGCAGGTTCCATTCCCAGCACATTACCGGCTATTACATAGTTATCGTTCAAAAAATTTACATTTACAGAAAAGCTTTAACCCATTAAGTGACAGCACTCTCTCCTTAATGAGCAAAAATTGTCTGACCACATTAGACAGAAAAAATAAAAAAGTAAAGCACATTGCTACTTAAAGGGTAAATATTCTGTTCAATGTAGAATATTTACAAGTAAAATATGCTGCATATATTAAATGTATGTAGTATCACTGCTCAATCAAACATGTCAAGCAAGTCCATTAGTAAAAATTTAGTACAAAACAAGCTGTATACCACAAGTCGGCAACTCCATCCCTTGAATGGTTTGGTAATTCACAAAAATGCTCTCCAGCAAAAGAATAACATTTTCCAAATAGACCATGAAGTTCTTAGAATGCCATTAATGATTACATATAATACCACTTGTTTCGACAACTTGCCTTCTCCTGGGAAGCTTTTGTTAAATCCATATATTAATGACAATCCCTAGTAAGAAAAAAATATATAAGGTTGATTTATAACAGCAGTTATAATTATTGATTGATGTTTGTGATGCTACTCTGAGTGTGCATCCACACCGGGCAAGCTGAAAAGTTAGTTTGGCCATGGTGGCAATCGAACCTGCGGCCTTTGGGATACTAGTCCAATGCTCTGTCAACTGAGCTACATGGTCAAGTCTGTTCGAGTTGATGATATTTTGCAACTGAGTCTAGTTCCTTCGATATCAGTGAACAGGGGTATTCAATGATACGATTATTTTGTGTGTGTTGGTGTCATGTACTCAGGTGAATATATGATGTTTGTGATGTTACTCTCACTGAGTGTGCGTCCACACTGGGCAAGCTGAAAAGTTAGCTTGGCCACGGTCACAGGTTCGATTCCCACTGTGGCCAAGCTAACTTTTCAGCTTGCCTGGTGTGGATGCACACTCACAGTAACATCACAAACATCATATATTCACCTGCGTACATGACACCAACACACACAAAATAAAAATTATTGATTGATTGACAATACATTTGCTATTTTTGGTTGTTTGTGCATATACAAAGCAAAAAATACAAAATTCAAATGCTTTTACTCATTTAATGTAAGCATGCAATTAAACTAACATCATCCAAATGAATACAACTTTTCTGGTAAAGGGTGTTTAAAATAGAGGTGCATAATTGACCCAAAATTCATTGTCCCAAAATCTTGCTAATGCCAAGCTAGGATTTTCCATATAAATTATATACAATCACCAACGATTTGGCACAGTATTGCCCCTGGGCCCTGGTAAAATGATCTCTGTGATTGTTTTTGTCAGTTTATACATTTCGAGACTGCCTGCAAAAGTATGAGTGATTGATCACTTGTTGGTTCACTTTATTGGGAAATGTGCTTCTACAATATAACTCAGTCTGGGTGATTTGTTTTGGCAAGCCTGCCCATCTAAAGAGGCTCATGTAACCAGACATTCATCCAGGGAAAGCGAGCTATAGCCAGGTTACCTCGCCTCTATATAAGCAGCCCCTTACACATGTTTTAGGCCCCGTTTACATGAGACCGGAATGAAGGCAAACCGGGACCATCTCGTTTCGGTCATAGTATTATCTATAATAGATGTTTACATGAGACCGGCCAGGACGAAAATAACTCAGACCGGTCTCAAGTCATTCCGCCTTCTGGACCGAACCGACTGACTTCAGACTGGCATGAATTCAGACCGGGATGAATGTAAACACAAATACATTTCAGACCAGTTCTCGGCTGTAATCTTGACATTGGAACAACACATGCTAACAAAAGCCACCTGAAAAATAAATTGAAGATTTTGTGATCCTCGTACCGGTCTCATGTAAACAATTTCAATTTTCATTCCGGTTTGACTTCATCCCGGTCTCATGTAAACAGGGCCTTAGGCTGACTGATAGCCGATAGGAGGGCTACCATAGCAAGTACATGCCATACACTGGGTAATATTAGATAAGCTATTGCAATGCTGTCAAATGTGACTGCATTTCAAACAGATCACATATATATTAAAGTATACATATTTAACACGAAATACAACATAGATGTATATCACACAAATAAAGCCCCGTTTACACGAGCAAATTTTATTTGACAAATTTCATATGTCAGAGATATTTTGCTCGTGTAGATGATAAATTTGTGACAAATTTTATATTGTGACAAATGCATTTGAACAACAAATGCTTTCGATGAATTGAAATTTGTCAAATAAAATTTGCTCATGTAAACGGGGCTAACAACACATATAAGTAGAGACTGTAGATTAGACTTATGGACTTCTGCTAATACAAATTAATCAAATATTAAAACTGAACGTCCAGATCGGCAAATCGGCGGCGAAGCGACTAAAATACAGGCCTTCGTCTTCGATTTAAAAATATAACTATACAGTATATCAAGTAACTTTCCGCACACAAATAAGTAAATACACAATAAACATACCTTTGAAAACAAATTCCATGTATCTTATTACGTCTTTGGAACTTTATATAAGTAGAAAATTTGAATAAATATCTTCCTATTTGAATGTTTGCTCCCAGAGGATTGAACTTGGCGCTTGGTCTTTGTGTGAACCAGATCGAATTACTACAACACGTGATATATTCTAAGCATGCTAATTGGTTAAAACTCTGGAACTTCCACTTGTCGCAAATTATATTCAGCAGAATTCAGCAGCAGAACATTCCACACATTCAAATTACAGATTTAGGCCAGCAAATAAAAAATATAGATGACTCGCCGACAATTTCTGACTACATTCGATCGCCGTGTGCGATTGAAGCCGATATACGGTATAATACATCAATGGCATCATTCTGACTTGGCAACATTCAAGTAACCAAAAACGTAAAATTAAAAAAAAAGACTTCATATCTCGAACTTCGTGCTTTTCGCATCTGACTGTATTCAATATTTTAATAGAGTATAGCCTCCAGCAGAAAAACTCTTGGATTCTCAGGCACATTAATTATATATTGTAATAATTTACTCCAGATCCAAAACAATTTTACTCTTTTTTGGGAGTTGAAACGACCCCTGGAGTAAAATTAAGAGTAGAAATTACTCCATAATTTCTACTCCTAAACGCGAGTTTAGTTTACTCCTCCAGCGGAGTAAAATTGACTCCTGATGGAGTAAATTGTAGAATGTGCGCCGAAGTGGAGTAGTTTTAACTCTATTTTGGGAGTAGATTTTACTCCACTATTTTTACTCTCCCGAGTTGAGTAGTTTTAACTCCTATGGTGGAGTTAAAATAACTCCTTGAAATTAACAGTGTAGATATAGTTAGATAGATAGATAGTTATATATATATATATATATAACTGAATATGGTCTGACTTACAAAATATGCCACTTGCCTGAAGGATCCCGAAGGATACACAACGCTAAAATATAAATATAATAGTGTACAATAGGAAATGCGAACTTCAGACAGAACGATTATAGGTACTAGAGTATACGATAGTATTCCTTCCACTCGTGAGCTCAAATCTTTCACAAACCTTTACAAGTAAAGAGGATCCCGAGGGATACACGACGCAAGCGAACTCAAGACAAGCTAAGATAAGCTAGGATTTGTCCAGGCCTTGTGACCCTGGATGGGCACTTAAAAGGAAGAAATACACACACACAGAATAATTACAGGTAACATTACTGCGCAAGTCATCGTACAATATTGATAAGATGTTAATTAAAATTTTTCATCAACGTCATTGTTCTAAAAGATTCAGAGGCAGTGACGCACGAAATACCTGTTGATGTAATTATGAACAGGACAAAGAGAAGCCAGTAGACAAATTAAAGATTTAACTTAATTTAACGATATATATAACTGAATATGGTCTGACTTACAAAATATGCCACTTGCCTGAAGGATCCCGAAGGATACACAACGCTAAAATATAAATATAATAGTGTACAATAGGAAATGCGAACTTCAGACAGAACGATTATAGGTACTAGAGTATATGATAGTATTCCTTCCACTCGTGAGCTCAAATCTTTCACAAACCTTTACAAGTAAAGAGGATCCCGAGGGATACACGACGCAAGCGAACTCAAGACAAGCTAAGATAAGCTAGGATTTGTCCAGGCCTTGTGACCCTGGATGGGCACTTAAAAGGAAGAAATACACACACACAGAATAATTACAGGTAACATTACTGCGCAAGTCATCGTACAATAATGATAAGATGTTAATTAAAATTTTTCATCAACGTCATTGTTCTAAAAGATTCAGAGGCAGTGACGCACGAAATACCTGTTGATGTAATTATGAACAGGACAAAGAGAAGCCAGTAGACAAATTAAAGATTTAACTTAATTTAACGATATATATAACTGAATATGGTCTGACTTACAAAATATGCCACTTGCCTGAAGGATCCCGAAGGATACACAACGCTAAAATATAAATATAATAGTGTACAATAGGAAATGCGAACT